TAAAACTTCAATTTGATAAAGCATTTAAAATAAATCTAATGTAAAATACAGATTATTCATGCAAATGTATGACTTTTTTCTTATCGTAGGTAGTGAATCATTATCTATCTGTAACTGTTTCAATTCATGAGAAGTATCATTATAGTCATTTATTACTTGATCCATTTTGACTGTTGTCGTATGTTTTTTCTTCGTCATATCATAAAAACAGTAGTGTTTCTATTTGATGAAACAGAAAATGAATTCTTCATTATAACTGTTTACCCTCATAAAGGTGCTAGAAGAGTCATCAATAAAACAACTACTGGAACAATATATTATTCTCTTCAGTAGGTTAATAATATAAACAGATCGACCAGATGTGCTTCTCTCTGTACACAGTCATTTGGCAATTCCAGTTACTGTTGGGGCGGTAGCGACATGAATTTTTTGTTTATCATTTGCGAGCCGCTTGTTCATTTGGCAACAGTACGAATAGAAAAAACAAATACATAAAAAGATTTTCTTTTTTCTGTAATTAACACATATGCTTATGACACAACTTTCTCTATACATAAAATCTGTTTTTCTTGAAGTAATTAAATCATCAACTAAAGCACATTACTTTTATTCATTTTTCTTCAACTTCGAATATGATAAGATTTGATAGAATTAGGGCGTGTATGTGAGTGTTTTGGGTCTCTTTTTGTCAAAGACCAACATCCAGTCCACTCATACCTGCACCGAATATTTATATAACAATAAATGATGCTTGTATTTATATAAATGACGGCAATCTGTTTACTTATCTATGCATAAATATTAACAAGTACTGTGTTTAGACGAGAATTTCTAAATCTTTTTTTCATGTCATTATTTCTTAAATGGCAACCTCAGTTGCCATTGAATTTCGTAGTCTCTTGTTCGATTAATTCGTATGAAAAATTTTAAATGCATCTTATTCAATAGCAGCAGCTTTTGTTGATGTTTATCTTCCCCCGTCCCACTTCCCCTCAAAGACATCATCAAGATAAGTATTTCTCGTAGATAAAATATAATTTAAAAAAGAAGAGCTTCTTTTCTTAATAATTTCATAATCATCTATTTTGTAATACGTATATTTTAGAGAGATAGCAAGGGTACAAAATATATTTTTTTATCAATCGACACCTTAGGGAATTCTCTACACACAGTATGTAATGAGTTTTTTAATATCACGCGTTCTGAATTTTCTGCAATATTTCAGAAAATGGCAATTTCAGTTGCCAATAGGGAGTAAAGAGATAAACGACGGAAAGTTCTATTTTTCTACGTTAAAGAACCCATAACAATTTAATGACATTCCTTGTTCCAAACTTTTAAGTATATTTCGTTACATTAAAAAAAGATTTATACCGCATTATGTGCTAACTTGTATGGCATATGTAAGTTCCATATTTCAGCCGCGAAAGGACTTGGGCTGACAAAGTTTTGCATGAAAATTTCTCATCATTTGTTTAAACTAAAATCTAATAATTTTGTACATTCATTAAAAAAAAATTTTTGGTTTTGTTATAATTCAATAATGAATCGTTGTCTCATTTTGGTAAATTAAACTTATGTACAGATCTTCACATAAATAAAAGTAGTTTTAAGCTAAATAATCTTGCAAAAAACAAATTGCATAAAACTTTTGTATCTATCATCGGAAGAGTAATTCTACTTATTATCAATTGACGTCGTAAAGTAGCTAAAGAAGCGCAGTATCAAAGCTTCAAAACAATTGTACTTATGGCCACCTGTTCTAGATTAGAACAAAAATCATTTTTGAATCGATAGGTTTGTGATACTATGATTATTTATCGAAATTTGATACATGATTGAAATCTTTTGTTCTTTACCAATAGAAAAATTGCGAAATAAAATTTTAGATTATTTGGTATCATTTAGTTTTAATGAGACAATTTTATTAATAAAACAAAAACAATATTCTTGAATATAATATTTCTAATTTAACAGACAATATCAACTTTGTAGTATTGATTTATTCATTGCATTCTTCCATCGTTACCTTGTTTTTTCTTTCGACCGACCTATAAAAGATGTGTTGCATTCGATTTATATTGAAAATAAGGGTATCCAAAATACAAAAATATGAAGGGATATCTAATATTGATATGCGTATGCTGTATTGTGGCATTTAGTCAAGCTGGATGGGTTCGTGTATGGGAAGATAATTTCGATTGGGATGGTGGTATTGATCTTAATAAATGGGAATATGACGTTGGTGGCCATGGATGGGGTTTGTAATTTATTTTTATTTATTTACTTTTTATTTTATTTTATTTTTTTTGTTTAAATATAGGAAATAATGAAGAACAATTTTATACGCAAAATCGATTAGAAAATGCTCGTTGTGAACGTTTTCCAGGTAGTCCAAATGGTCGTTTGATCATTGAAGCACGTAAAGTAGGATATAAGATTCAAATTAATTCGAATATTTTATTACTATATCAATTTGATTTTCATTAGGAAAATTATGGTGGTCGTCGATTTACTTCAGCTCGTTTGAAGAGCAAAGGTAAATGGACATATGGTCGTTTACAAATTCGTGCTTTACTTCCAACTGGTCGTGGTCTACGGCCAGCACTTTGGTTGGTAAGTTTTTTCTTGAATATTCCAAAATAAGTTCTTCTAATATTAAAATGAAACTAGTAGTTACCTGAAAGGCAAGTTTATAGTAATACCTATTGGCCAGATAATGGTGAAATAGATTTAATGGAACAAGTTGGTTATGATCCATTACGTATTCATTCGACGGTTCATACAAAAGCTAATAATCATATGTTAAATAATCACCCAAGTAATTCTGTTATTGTTAGTGATGCTACAACAAATTTTAAAATTTATACACTTGATTGGAATGTTGATAAAATTGAAATGTTTGTTGGTGACGAAGCTAATCCATTTCAAACAAGAATTTTTATTTGGAATAAAAATGGAGATTGGACTACATGGTATTTTTATTTTTTAAGTGAAATTTTATCATTTTTTCATTTATCTTAGGCCATTTGATCAACCATTTTTTCTTCTACTTAACATTGCTGTTGGCGGTTCACGGTAAATAGATTCTTTTAGACAGAAAAAAGACGGATTATAGCATTTTTTTTCTATTGTTAGGGGTGGTGTACAAGGCCTTGATGAAAACATTTTTCCACGTCGAATGGAAATCGATTGGGTTTACTATTATCAATGGCGTTAAATATCAAAGTTGATATTTTTCTATTTTAAAGATCAATATGAATAAATGAATAAAACGAATTATTTTCGTTTGATTTTATGTTCTTTTTTTTATTTTCATTTTATTAACAACATACTAAGTAAATAAGATTAAGTGTATATCAACGATACAATTAGAAACAATCAACATCGGATAATATTTTCTTTTTTAACGTTCTTGCTTTCTTAATAATAAATATTTCCTTTTCTTTTTATTCAGATGTTTCTTTTTTTTGTTTTTATAATTTATAAGGAAAAATTGACTTACACCCTTTCAAATAGAATGGAGTACTAATTATAGCATGTCAGAGAATGTCACACTGATATGACAAAATATGTTATTCTTATGTTTTTTTAAACAATTAGTCTCATATAATTTGATTCATGAAAGGAAAAAGTTCAAGAAAAAATAAACGTCTAAAATATCATCGAACATCAATATATTGAAGTTCAGGATTTCCGTTAATAATTATGGTTATAATATATGATCACATCATAAAAAGAAATTATAATTTTAATGTCGAAAATCATGTAAAACCTTCAGTTTAAAGTGTAATACTCTATGGAAAATCATTTCAAAACACGACATATAGCGTGCTTTGTTAATCTCTAAATAAAAATCAGCATGTATAGTTCACTCTAAAAGATTATATGCATTTACTTGATTAAAATAGAAAAACATCATGCTTGACTTGTTTTTTTCAATAGTAAAAAATATTTAAAAAAAATTTCATCTAATAATGCAGGTTGAATAGTTTAATGAGTCCTATATTTAGATAATAATGCTTTAAGCTTTTTTTTCTTACCAACCAATTTTTTTTATTTTCACAAAGTTACGCCCTTTATTCGTTAGCTATTAATTATGTTTAAGAAGCTTTTTCTCTTTGACTGCGTTCAACAAAAAGCATAATTTTCTTTCGTTATAATAGATGCTCTTGTGTCTTTTTTTATCAATGAAGGATTATATCCTGAGAAAGACTTGATAATTAGCTGCTTCCGGAAAAATCTAAACGTATTGAAAAGCTAACATCATCATCAATCTGTTTGTCGCAAATTGATACACGGAGAAGACAATTTTGTTTTGTTTCTTTTCATTGTTCGACCGGAGGAAAATGTCACATTCGAAGAGACATAATCAAATCTTTCAAATTCTGCGCCATCACATTCATCATTATCGTCGAGATATTGTATTTTCTGAATAAAGAATATGGAATGATGATAAAGCACGGCTCGCAGTCTAATGATCATCATTAAAATGTCCGAAATAGAAAACATTTTCATACATGTTTATTTATATATAAATAAATATATATATATATAGAGAAGTCAATGTGATTTTCTAAGAGAAACAATATTGAATAATTTATATAAAAAAAAGAAACATTTCCCGTCTACTGTCGTTGTTTTATATGTGCTATATTGAACGATAACAACAGCGGAAAATCTTTTATTATTTATTATTGATTTTCTTTTTTTTCTGCTTGTTGTCATTTGTCGGTATGTGTGTCTATATGTTATTCTCGTGAATAAAAACGACGGAGTAACACTGCTCAAGAAAGATAAAGATCCTGACAAACGAGCAACAAAAATAAGTGTGAGAAAAAAAAACGCCCAACTATAGAAAAGCGCGACAATGACGAGTAAAATGTATTTAAATAAAGAACAAGTTGTAAGACAACATACCGACATCAAACACACAAGTTATTATTTAATCTTAAAGCAATATTGACACTCAACGGTATAATTTATTTGAATTTTTATACATGGAACGAATCCATATGCGTGGTCGACGATGGTCCGATGCTGTAGTTGCTAAGTAAGCACTTTATTTATCATAAATATACGAAAACATAAAAAATTCATATCATCATTTCTAATCATAGTGATAAATATCTTTATCATCTGTTTACATATATCCAATAATCTACAAAATAAAGAATTAACAATAATTTCGAAAAATTATTTTATTTTTTCTTTCAACTAAAATTAAATGATTTTGAAAAAGATCTATACAAAGAAAATTTTCTTACACAATAGAATTGAGAATTTGTATCGTAGGAAGAATTGATTTTATTTTAGTACATATACAATTCTTCTATTGAACTTTTATTTAGTCAAAATTCATAATTGGATGTTTTTATTTGTTTCTTTTTTGACAAATTAACCTTGATAAAAATAGACATTATTTTAACTGATTTTTTTCTAAGAACATCTTCATTTTTAATAACAAACTTAATGTTAAAGACAAGTATATAAAAATTAATATTTTATATGCATCCCCAATCTCATTCAGATGATCATACATGATGTGAAGTTAAAAAGAAAAATGCGTAATTACGATTTCGAGGTCTATTTATGTATCTCAGTTGTTGATGCGAAATAAAAAAAGTACTTCATCAATATTAAGATGAATGACTGTAATACTTTACTGACAAGACATTCACTTCATTAGATGAATAAATAATTGTTTTTTCAAGCATAAAGGTTAAAAAATTGTTTTAAACGTCTTATGAGGTGATAGATGGAAAGGTGTTTCTCTATTTGAGTATTTGCTTTCAATTTTCTCGAATTTAACAGCTGTAATAACTTGTAAATCATTTATTTGCTATATATTTTCAAGCTCAATAATTAACTTTAAATATATAAAGTGCCTGATTATTTCAAGGACATTTTTGCATTTATTTGTATTCAAATAAGCGGAATGAAATGAATATAAGAAAAATTGTATTGTCTTTAATCAAAATCAGACATTTGTTTTTTATTCGTTTTCTACACTCTATTTATTGAGCCATATAGTTGATATTTTTTTATGATTAGTTTAAAATATTTCAGTAAAACTTTTGTTCAAACTTCAAGAAGTTCAAATGCGTCTCAAATAAATTATCAAAGCAAAACTATCTTAGAAATATAAGTAAACAGATATTCAGGAGAAAAACCTTAATCTATTTGTTCTTTTCTTATTTAGCACCCTAATAAAATTGCATTTTATCCTTGAGTGCGGATTAAATAGAGACGATTTGTATTTGCATCCTTTTCATATTTTATGAATTCCGACAGAATAAAATAGGAGATGTTGTCATTAATTGAATTATTTGTTGTTGTTTTTTTCATAAGGATAATTCACTTTTTTAAAGATAATTCATATTAAGAAATTGAAATGAAAAAGTTGTTTATTTGTTATGATATAATCTTCTGTATCTATTTCATATTAAATGTTTCATTTATTCATCATTCGTATCAGTGTTTGTTTTTTCTAAATAGAACTTGATTATTTACACATGATCTCAAAGAAATAAACAATAACTACCTACATAATTTAATACATAAAACTAAAAGAAAAAAAAATACTATTAAATATTCAATATTTGATGTTTTTTACTCGATCAAATAAATGAGATTCAAACAATTACAACTAATGATAAAATTTATCTAGGCAAAATATTAATTTAACAATCAAAGTTAATCTGTATGTGAATGTATATTTACTGGAGTGAGAACTAAACCATGTTTGCTTAAGTGGGGTAGAAAAACACTGAAAAACATAAGCATTCTGTGGTGGGTGATGCTGCTATTAGAATTTCTCTGACGTTGATTTAAATAGATAAGAAAACTATTATCGTTATTAGTGCTTTTTCTACTGAATATAAAAAATAGAATCCATTAGGCTATTAAAAAAAAGTACGAAATAATTAGTAAATAGTAAATCATATAAAGCGATTGATTGGATCGTTTAACAGAAAATTTATTTCTCATTCTTTTTATTTTTGCTAAATTGATTTTGATGTTAAATAATCGGAAAATTGTTATCTATACTATTATTATTATAATGAGTTTTCTTTTTCTTGAATAAATTATAGCTTTTACTATTGTTTTCATGTTTATTATAGGTTATTCTACTAGTTTGTATTTTTTCAGTTGATTACACAATTTAATCTGTTGTTCATCATATCCTTTTCATCAAAAGCTTGATATGTGAGGAGGAAAAAAAAAGAAAAAAGAAGCAGATTTTTCATCCTGATGACAATCATCAAAATTATGAAAAGAAACAAATTGTCATATCAATATTCAAGTTCTTTTTTTATTTCTCTTTCAGTTTGAGTCTTTTATTTTAAGCACACTAAATTAACATCAATACAGAAATACTCATTCATAAATGATAAATATATTGAATGTTAGCAGGTGAATACACAATAAGTAACATGAGTCAATAGAGAAAAAAACGTAAGAATATATAACAATAACTTCTATTGATGTTGTCAGCGAAAACCAACAAAACTATAATTCATTATTAATGAAACGTTATTCTCAAAGGTGTGATTAATTTTTTTCTTTTATGAATGAGATAAAACATTAAGTAGAGTTTTTCTAAGAAAAATTTGAAGATGATAGATTTAGTATAAGAATAATAGCTATTGAAATGATAATATAAATAGCTTTTAATCTAATGTAATTCCCGTTTTTGAAGAGTTTCATGTAAACAGAACAGAAAATATATAGCTGAAGAAAGACACACCATCGGTTTCCTTTTAACGACAAAAGTGAACTATAAAAGCAATTGAACGATAGTTTATATGATTCTATCGAAGAAAAAAAAATGAGCAGAATACAATTCTCTTCTTGAATTGAAAAGAAAAAATCATTATTTGATCTTCAATCATCTTCACTTAAACTGTATTCCACAAGTTCTTTTTCATATAAGAATTAAGATTGACGATCGTACAAATAGTTTCTTTTCTCGATATATATATATATATAGATATAATTGCTTGAAGGCGTTACTAGAGCACGCACACATTTCCAAGCTTTATGAAATCCTTCTTATTATATATGACGTGAAGTATCCATGATATTAGTTCTAACAAACAAATAATAGGAAGAAGAACAAAATATCATCAGTTTCATGTTAATTATCATTGAATGTTTTTACTATATTTTTTTATAATTAATTTCAAGTCCAAGTTGATGAGAAAGAAAACGAATGAAGATATTTTTTAAGTTTTTCTTTTATTGTATTTTTTCTATTGAATCACGACATATTCATTATAAAGTATATGATCTATAAAAGAAGAATCACGATCCTTATTCATACTTCATGTTCTTTTTTCTGTATTATATACTCTTCACTTGGAAAGGAGTTCTTATTTTCATATATATATATATATATACGCTTTCTCAGTAGTTTTCTCCCCCCCCCTCTCCTCTCTTCAACAGTAATCATGTAAGAATACATTATGATACTTAGAAATGAAAAAGAATGACGGATGATGGGGGAAAAAAAGCAGAGAAGAAGGAAATTTTTCTTTGATATATATATTCCCCTTTCTCTTGACATGCTCTATTAGACAAAACACAAGTGCAGAAGAAAAGACTAATAATGATATTGTCACTTCAACAAGAATCGAAATTTTCTGCTGCACTTTCAAAACGGTAGATATTTATTTAATAAGAAAATAATTTAGATTAATTTTAAACTTATTCAAATAATTATTTCGATGAATTTAGGTTTGAAAATGAAGGTGTACATGCATTTCTGGAAAACTTCGAAGCTGTTGCGCAAAAACATGAACGCCGACGGCAAAAAATAAAAAAAGATGTATATAAGAAAAAAAAAAAATTTCTTTTTCTATCAACTAAGTGGTTTCTTTTATTTATAAAGGAAGATATTGAAAATGAAAAATTTCCTTCGGAATATCGAAATACATTTACTGTTAAACCCCAAAGAATAACATTACAAGAATACGAATTACTTTATGTTGAAACATTATATACAATAAAACATAAAATTGGAACAATAACATCAAAATATATTCAAGGAGAAAATGATCTTTATGCTTATGCACAAGAAGCATTTGGATTATCAAATGAAGATCATCAACGTTTATTAGAGAAAGCTAATGAAGAAAAAGTTTGTTTTCATATATATACATATATATATATAAATTAAATCTTAAAATGTTTGACGTTTTTATTTTTATTTTTAGCCACCAATATTAATTTTAAATGTAGAAATAGTTGAAGCAAAAGATCTTGAAGCAAAAGATGCAAATGGTAAATATATTTATTTAATTAATAGAAATTTGCATTTGATATAAAATAGGATTTTCTGATCCTTATTGTATGTTGGGTGTTGTACCTGAAATGCGTAATTTTCTTACTGCTCAACAATCAAATGGTGGTGGATTATCTTCAGATGAAGAAGGAGCTAATACTAATACATTACATGAAAATAAACTTGGTTTTATGAAACGTTTAAAAAGTTTTCGAAAATCAACACATCGACGTGGACAAGGACGTGAAAAAAGTTTATCAACAAGTAGTGCAAGTTCACAAAATTATTCTAGTTTAAGAGATAAACTTCCGGCTAAATATATTCAAACAACAGATGTTAAAACAGCAACACTTAATCCAGTTTGGATGGAAAAATTTCGTTTGTAAATGTTTGAAAAAATTTTAAATTTCATTATTTATTGTTTTTTTTTTTCTTTAAAAGTCATATTGAAAGTGGAAAAAATGAAACTTTTCATTTGGATATATGGGATCATGATGATGAATTTTCAGTAATTGAAGCAGCAAAAAAATTAAATCAAGTGCAAGGTTTCAAAGGACTTAATCGTTATTTTAAACAAATTGCTCAATCAGCAAGAACAAATTATTTAAACGACAGTTCACATGTTGATGATTTTTTGGGTTCTGTTAATCTTAAAATAAGTGTATGTTATATATAAAAATTATATTCTTGTTATTTTTTTAAATATCTTCAATAGGAAATTCCATCAACCGGAATTGATAAATGGTTTTCATTAGAAGGTCGTAGTGAAAATTCTAAAGTTCGAGGACAAATACACATACGAGCTAATTTAACAACACGAGAAGATCGTGGATTATCTGAAGAAGATAATTGGACGGATATTAAAGAACACGTTGAACTCTTACAAATATTTATTGATCATGAATTAAAGAAATTTAAGGTTTGAATCATTTTTTTAACCTACAAATAATGTGCACTCATATTTTTTTCAAGATAATTTTAATATATGTGTAAATAGAAAACTTTTATATGCCATTTTCAGATATTAAAATCGAGGCAACATCCGAATAATTATTATATTTTTTTCTTTTTTTTGTTTAACTACAGGGTGAAACAACTGAATGGACTGGTGAATTATCGCGTGATGCTGAGACAATTTTACATCAACATGCAATACAAGGTGGTATAACAGATATTCAACGTTCAATGTGTCGTTGGATAGCATATTCAAAAAAACATTCTGAACATATTTTAACGCATAAATTATTATTATCAGTTACTGAACAATTAGAACAAACATGGAAACCAACATCATTAAGTAGAGATGAAAGTGATATGTTAAGAGAAGCATTTACATTATTTATAAATCATTGTTTTAAACAATTAACCAAAATTCGAGAACTTTTTCCAGCTGCTAATAAAACTTCGATGGAAAGACTTGAACAAATTTTAACGTAAAATCAAACAAAACAAAAAATATATATATATATTTCTGATTTTATTTATTTTGCTTTTCATAAAGGATTCTCATGAAATTACATAGTATGGAAGTATTTCGGCATTGTTGTCCATTTCAAAATAGTCTTCAACATGAATTAACATCAATAATTAAAGTAAGATTTTGAAGACAGACAATAATTTGTATGAAAAATTAATCTTTTCTTTTTCTTAAGACAGGAACAATTGAATGGTTTGATCGAATTGCTACACAAATAACAAAGCCACGCTTAAGAGTAAATCTTATTTCAATTCTTATTCGAAAGGAAAAGCTTTCTTGTTCTTTCATTAGTCTGATGAAGATACATTGAGAAATACAAGCGAATTGGTTTATGTCATGGTTGTAGATGGTAAGTTGACCTCGATTCCAATTATTTCTGTTGATTCCGCTTTAGCGAAAACTAGTATTGAGTGCATATTTATCCGAATATTAAAAACCTGATGATAAATGTCACTCATATAATTTAATATACACCGGAAGTATACTTCATCTTTCAGTTAAAATCTTTCAATGATATATAATAGAGGATTTGAAATTTTTTTTTTCTTTAATTTTTCTTCTGAATTAATGTTAAGGAGTTTAAATCATGCTTGAAATCATACTAAATCAAAAATTTTCTTTAAACTACATTATATCAAAATGAAAGAATCAGAATGAGTCCAGATCACCATAATTGTACTTATAGAGAATTAATGAAATACAAGAATATTGTAAATTTTCAAATATATAATGATAAACGGAAGTCTTGAAAAACATATGAAGTGTCATTTTTTCTCGTTTAGCTCATTCATCTATCAAATATTACAATCCAATATTTGACTCGTATGTTCATTATATTAATAAAAGTATTTTATGGAAATTTTCTTCCATTTTAGTACTGTAAAAATGTCTTTTTATAATATATCATTTAAAAAAATTGATGAAAAAGTAAAACAATTTTTTTTAAATTATTAAAATATTTTTTTTTTATTTTTTCTTTAAACCAAAGTTAATGGATATTGTCATAAGAGCTCTTGAAGAAGAAGTAAGATTTCTATTATTGATTAATATTTTAAAAGAAATGTTTTTAAATCAATAGCTTGGTGATCAAATTCATCAATCTCCATCGACATTCTTGGAAGTATTAGAACCTGATTCAGTTGATGTTCTTGCATTTTCAGTGGCAACTGAACAAATAAGTTTATGTTTATTTGAACTTTATTTGTCACTACATGAATTATCAAAATATAAAATTTATGTTAATGAAACGTTTGTATCAAATATTTTAATTATTTTCAAAAGTAAAAATACAAAAAATATTTTCTTTTTTTTTTTTTATTCAGTGATCGAATAAATCTAAAAATAAATCATTATTATATGTATTTTGGTGCAGCCGTTAGAAAATGGTTATCACTCGCTCGAAATAAAATTCTTCATCGTATTGAACGTTCAGTTGAAAAGGATACATATGAAGCTGCATTGACGTCATCATATAATGTTAAATTTACGCCTTCATCATTAGATGTATCTAGTTGCTTTAGTCAAATATCACAATTTTGGCGACGATTAGGTATTTAAAAAAAATTTAATTTTTTAAATATAAAAAAAGAAGTTCTTAAATTCAGCATGGCCGGATATAATCACTTCAATATCATATTTAATAAAAATAACTGAAGATACAGCAAATGCCACACGTCTTTATGCATCATTAGTTGAAGGAAAACTTAATGCAAGAAAATTGTATGAAACAAGTGATATATCTTATTATGCACAAGAAGTAAATTTATTTCCTTTTACTTTTTTTGTTTTTTTTTGAAATAAAATATTTTTGTTTTAAATTTTCATTTAGCTTTCTTTAGTTGTAAATGATATTGAACGTATAAGAGAATCATTTAAAACTTTACCCATTGAATTATCTTATGATAAATTATTAGTAGCAGCTGAAAAATTTCATTCAATTTCCGTTGTTGATGAATATAGAAAGAAAATTGAAACAACTGTTGCAACGTGTAGTCAAGAAATTATTGATAAAATTTATCAAATTTTAAATAGAGTTGTTACTAAGATGGAAATTGAATTAAAACAACATATATTTCATATTATCGAAACACCAGAACATGTTTCACTTCAAGATACTATTCAACCATTTATTACATATCTTGATGCTCGGCTTTTACCATTTAAAGATTTTTTAATAAGACAAAACTACACAAGGTAATATACTTGAGGATGAAAAAAAAAGTGTTGAAAAGCAACGATGTGTAAAAAGTATTCTTTAAAATCTGTTAGAGTGGTTTTTTTTAAGGATTGTTCACAATAAAATTTTTCTAATTACTACTTAGAATCATTTCTTCTAAAATATAGGACAATGTAAGTATATCAAGAACTTTGTTAGAATATAGAATGAGACTGTCAAGGTATGTTTTTTTTTTAACGAAAGGTCTTAAGAGATTTATCGTTGTAAAGAATCTGTGTTGAAAGACGAGACATAGAACAAAAGCATTTCATGACAAGTATTCATCTATAAGATTTATAAAGAAAAAAAAAAAAGGATGATATTGATATTGGTTGTCAACATGTCGATATAAAAAAAAAAAACGTCAAATAGATGAAAGCATATATTGTATGAAATGTCTATCAAAACAATAAAATGTGAATAGCTTTTCAATAGTTCAAAGAATTCATATTATGATGTTAGAAGTTTATTTTAAGTTCTTCAAAGTTTTCTTTTAGGATAATTATATTCAATAAGCTATTGGTAGATGTAAATATTAGAATAAAGATTTATTTAATTCGTACTTAAAATTCAATTATCAACGCTTGTAACACGAACCTATGTTCATATCTCATGTAAACATGTTGGTAGTTTTTTTGAACCCTCATTGATTTACTTGTATATCACATTTACAAATGTAATACAGTATTTCATTACTGCAATCAATATTTGACTTTTTCTAATAACTTTAATGTTTGATGTTCTTTTTTTTTTGATCATATATGAACAAAGTCATTGGAAATATGTAACGAATTTGAAAACTAACTTTATAAAGTTCTATGTAAATATATTGAACCTCTTGATGAATTTTGAAATATTTTGTAGCAGCGACGTACAATGAGAATTAATGAACTTTTGAATATTGTCAAAGTCTCGTCAAGTCTTTTGACATATCATGAAGTGTCTTCAAACCTCATAAAGTCTAATGAAATTCTCAAGTTCATCTTTTTTTTTATTTGCCTAGAATATGAATCAAGGGATGAATCTTGTTTTCTGTTAAAAATGCTTTGGGAAAATGTATCTTGTACCGTAAACGGTACAAAATGCATATATTTGTAATCATCGTCTCGGATTATGACAGATGTCAATGACAATAGGTTTTCATCGGAGATGAAGATCTTTGTTTTCTGATTTTTTTTTTGAGATGCTATTACCATTTGAAAATAGAATACGCGTTGTTTTTGTTAATTTACAACTAATATGTAGTTTTAAAAGAATTTTAGTTGACATTAAAAATCATGGAAAAGTTAATTTTTTAAAAGATTAAATTATTTCTAATTTTTTTGCTTTTATTTAATAGATTATTAGAACTTGTTTGGTCTATTCTTATTGATCAGTTTTTATTAGAAATCGAAAAAACATCAAAACCAGTATGAATATAACTATTTTCTCAAACTTATTTTCTAGTTTTGTCTTTTTTTTTTTCTAATAAAATTTAGCGAACAACATCGTCTTATGCACGATTAATGAAAGCTCTGGATTCATTTGTTGATTACTTTAATGTTGATGAACAATGTTTACCAAAAGAAGCCCTTAAAACTGACAAATATAGAGTAGAAAAAAAAGTTAATTGCAATAATAAAAGAACTATCATTTCTTATTGTTTTAGTTAATAAAAAAATTACTAAAATATTATTCAACAGATACATATTCATTAATTAAATTATATTACCAAGTTAGTTGATTATTTATACTTATAACTAAATTCGTTGATTTTTTTAGGAAAAATTACAAGAACAAGAACGTCTTGGAATTTTAAATCAACCATCACATTTAACTGATTTAGGAAAACTTTATTGTCGTGCATATTATCATTTAAAAGAAGAAACATTATATGTTGAAAGTAATTTTTTTTTTTTCATTTTGATTATTTTATTTAAGAAAAACCAAAATACATCAATGTTTTTAGTTATATCATGCAAAAATCTCAAATCCTGTGATTCCAACGGTTTAAGGTATCAATGAAAATTTTTGAATTAAAATAAAACAAAACAAAGAATTCGTTCTGTTTTAGTGATCCATACGTTGAAATTCAATTATGTCCAAAATATTTATATCCTCATATTGAAAAACAACAAACATCAATTGTAAAAAAAACTTTAAATCCATCATTTAATGAAAAATTTGAATTGTAGGAAAAATAAATAAATAGAAACAAATCTTCTTCTACTTTTTTTTCTGATTTTTTTAGTCGTTTAACAGAAAAAGAATGTACTTTATCCGGTGGTTTTATACATTTTACTGTAATGGATCATGATTTAATGTGGTCAAATGACTTTGAAGGAGAAGCTTTTCTTGAAATATTGAAATTACCTGGAATTCCCAATGATTCAACTAATGATTGTCGACCTTTGGATGAATTAAAAAAAATTGAACTTTCATTAACACATCCAAAAGGTTTGAAAAAAATGAATAATAAATTTCGTTGATTTCAAATTAATTTATTATTTTAGTTGTACGAAGTCGTATTATTGAAATATTAGAACAACGTATATCAGATAAAACGGCGATTGACTTTGTTCGACAGCGACGTGAAGCAGAAAATCAATAAAATTAAAATCTTTTTTTTTCCTTTTTCTTCGCTTTTTTTTCTGATATAAAATATATGAATCAAAATTAACTCCTGTCTGGAGAAGAAAACACTTTTCTTTCAATGAATCTCAATTCAACTTTGATTAAAATAAGAACATGATCGTACTACTTATTTGTTGTTTTCGAACAGTAAACTTATGTATATTATTAGCTAGTAGTTGTTGTATGAATAAAACTCTGTTCAACAATCTATCATGTATCATATAAACGCTTTTTTGTGGTACTCACGTCTATTTTCGAAGGAAATAGCGAGTGTAAGTTTAAATAGAAGTTTTGCGGCTCTCTCTCTCCTAAGTTCTAGCAGCCTAGGGGGATAGGAGAAAGGGCAAAGATAATTAGGCACATTCTCCTAGCAATGAGACGAGGTGCGGCTGTAATAACAGTGCTTAGATTATTCTAAAACTTTCTAAAATCTTCCAAAGTATTCTCTATATCTAAGATTTCTACTGTAGATTCTAACAAGTTTAAATATTGTAGGCTTCGATACATAAATGCAGTGAATGAGTCTTATTGTAGGTGCCAATCAGTAGTGCAATCGTACGATTGGTCTAAGAGAGGTAGAAGAGCATGAGCATTGAAAAGTATGAAATGAGTGAATTCTATGTTCAGGGAAAACTCAACGGTATTCTCGAAAGCTTACCGAACGATTAAATCAATGTATATGACAGGTAAATTTGGTGGTTGAATCAATGAAATGAAGAAGAAAAAAAAAAGATCTTTGCCATTTCCTATGGCATGGATCGCATACAAAAATATCATTAGAAGAAAAGAAGTTATGCATTGAAGATGCATCTGACAAGACAAAGAACTTTTTTTGTGAGGATAATGATTTTAAATGAATCAATTAAATTGGTAGAATAGTAATTCTAAATGCCAACATTTTTTAAAAAGGATGAAATTTCAGAGAGTACATATCAACTAAAACCATCGCTATAATTTTAGTTTATTCATTTGTTTGACATTTTTTTAATATAAATTATTCATCAAACATAATTAGATCATGTTTATCATGATGATCATCATTGAGAACATTTTATTGATAATTCTTTATCTCTCATTAAAATCTTATAGAATAATCTACTATTAAATGATTAAAATAGTATTGAAATGTCTGATAATGCTATTTTTAGAATGGTTGCAGCTTATTTAGCTATAATAAGATCATATGAAGGTTATTGCCTTAATGGAAAGAAAGAGGATAAATGACAAGTTCATTCCATAAATATAGAATTCATGTAGTAGGAAGAATAAAATCTGCTACTTTTTTATATGCTTTAGGTTATACTAGAATTTTTGCACAAGAGTTTGATTAGATAACTATTGAATGAGTGAATATATTAGATGAAGAAAAAAAAAACAAGATTTTTACAACTTCAACAACTTGCTGAATTAAATAATTTGTTTTTGTTTTGGACAAAATTCACTTTTTTTGTGATTTTTAATTCATCTTTCAGTTCTTATCGTATGTCTCAAGAATATTATTTTTGAACTTCAATAAGAAAAAAATTTAATAACCAGTAATAGATTTTGATGATCATTAAATATTTTTGTATTTTCTTAAATTTTTGGAAACAAGAAAAAAATGTAAGTTTGCAAAATTACAATTGAAAACTAAGTCGTTTTCAGCAGTATTTATGCATTTCGTCTTGATGAAAATTTTAAATTTGTCTTATACATTAGAAAAAATGAACTTATTTATTTGAAGCACGGTGCTTTGTTCAGTAACTTTTCTAAAAATATCTTTTCCGTTGGATGACATGGGTTTCATCGTACTAACTTTTGACTATATTCAAGAACTGAGAAAGACGAATTCATAAGCTGTTAATGAACTCTCAATAGAGATCTATTAATTTTTTGACGAAATCAACAATTAATCTTTAGTTTTTTTTACAGTTCCATGTCATGCATAATAGTTCAAGAGATGCGTATTCTATAATAATTTTCACAACCAACATATTTATCTCTACATATGTCTTCATTGATTTGGATTACAAAAACAAAAAAAATATTGTGTCGTTTTATTTTTGATTTGAGTAATCATGAAATTATTGGATAGTAGAAGATTGTTTCCTGTTTTTTAGACCTTCAGCACCCTTCTATCAAATATTATTAGCATGTTATTGAAAGCAATTTATAAAATGCATTTAACTCGTTTATCGATTGTCTTTTGTGTTGGAACTAAAAAGAAATTCAATATAAAATTGCTTTTTATTATCAAACTGGTAAATATTACCTCGAGAAATATCTTTAATAATAGTCCGTTCTACTTGTCTATTAGCATTAAGTAATTGACGCATATTCCTTAATGCATTAGCAGATTTTTCTTGAACATTTGGATCATCATCACCAATCAATTTAAGTAAATTCTATCGATAGATTAAATAAGAATCTTCATGTTTTCTTTTTTTTTTTGAATGACATATTCTCTTACTGACGCTATCCCAACATCATGTAAAATAACACAATTCGATGGAACACAAGAAAGATCATAGATAATTTTAGTTAATGGTTTATAAAGTTCTGAATCTTGTTCTTGTAAATAATTTTTCAATGCTATCATAACACGTCGATTACCGAATTGTTCTTGATTTTTCGGTAAATCTAATAAATTAGCTATTGCATCACAATATGGTTTTCTCAACTGAGGATAATCCTATTCAACAAAAAAACCTATTATTTTAATGAATTTAAAAATTTAACCAAAAAAACTAACTAGATCATTTAACTGGGAAATTTTTGAAACAATGCCAAGATCTGTTAGAATTTCTAGATTATGTTCATCTTTAACAATTTCAGCAATAATTGCTAAAGTAACTGCAAGTAAATCAATATTTTCTGTTGATAATGTATTTAAAATTAAATAAAAAACACCATCAAATGAACGTATTAGTTCACCATGATTCTTAAAAATAAAACAAACGAAACTTTTTGTATTATATAAAAGGATGAAATATACTTCAATTGAAGCAAGACAATTTCTAATCGTCCATCCAGCAGCTATTTTAATAGATGGTGAAGCTAATTTAAATAATGTCCATAATTCTTGTAAACCATTATTATCAATAATCATTCTATATTGAAAAAAAAAATAAATTGAAAAAGTTTTGCTTTTGACAAGGAAGAAAACGGCAAGCGGAGAAAATCATGCTTCTGTACTTCAGAATAGAGTACTGCAATTCGCAGACCCTAACCCAGAAACGGATGTGAAAAGCAATGATTTATGGAGAGACAAACTTCATTTTTAACAGAATAATTCATAGAAAATTTGAAGATATATGTTTACAATTGTGATGTCCTTGATCAGATAGTTGATTGATCATTCTGTTAAACTTTCAGTGAAGTATTAGCGTAATGAAACCCACGGATCGGATATCCGTACCCGTACCTGAGTACAAGTACGAAAATATGTACTCGTAGAATATTCTGCTTCAGAAGAGTACCAACAAACGTAATGAAGCATATGAATTTATTTAGGCGTTCTTCCGAAGTTCTTAATAAGAAAGAGTGTAATTGAAAAAATAAATTAAGAGATGGTTAATGATCTTTGTCAGTTATTTAGATAACTAGGAAATTGTTATTTGACAAATGTCTATTTTTACCGACCCATAATATGTAAGTTGCTTGTTCATGTATAAATTTTGTTTATCTTTAATTTTCATTCAGAAGGAACTGTTTTGTTGGTCTAGTTTAATTTAATTGCTAATGTTTGTGTCATTAAGATTTATTTTATGATATGCATAATCTCATCATTATTGTTATTTATCTTTTCATTATTTCTGAAGTTGTTATTATAGATTTTCCTATTGTTTTTTCTCTTATACTTCCTTTTCTTTCTCTTTTTTCAAAGCTTAGTTCATCAGCAACTCAAAAGAAAAAAAAAATAAGTTGAACTTAAAATATGTATTTCTCCAATTTTTTTTAGAACTATATTTATCATTGTTGACCTCTTTGCTGCTTTAATATATTTGTATACTTACTTTTTTTTTCGGAGTTTAGCACGTACGTTGCCATTCTATTCTTTTTCAAGTAGTTATTATGCTATTAATTAAAGATTCATAGAGCTCAATTAATTCTTAGCAGAACAGTCAGATTATCATTTTTTGGTGAACTATAATAGAATTCTGGATTTTATCATTTTGTTATTTGTTGTATTCTTTTAGTTTTTATTTTCTATTATGATCGATCTATATGATTTTATATCGTCTACATGTATCAAGTATTATACAGTAATAAGCATTACAAGTTCAAGAAAGATAACATTAGAGTTTCTATTGAATGAAAGATGTAGAAAAAATAAAGGAAAAGAAGTATCAAAGCAGACAGACGTATCAGGAAACGTAGAAGTACTCTGTTTCCTTCTTGCCCTATGCTTATGAAAGTGCTATAAAGTCTTGAAGTCGCACAATGTTTTATGAAGTGCAACTTTTTTTCTGAATTGTTTTTTAGAAAAAAGAAACCTTACTTTGATGCTTCTTTATCTTTTCCACATTTTTGTAGTATAAATAAAATATTTAATTGAATTTCTGAATTATTTTCATTTTGTAAATAAAAAATAAAATCTGGAAAAATTTTGTCTTGTTTAAATAATTCTATTGTTTGAGAAATTTTTGTTAATTCATTTAGAGATTTAATAATACGTAATAAATATAAAATATTTGAAGAATCTTTAAAAAATTTTATCATATTTAATATAATATCATTTGATATATTTTCATTATTTCGTATAAATTCTGTTAAAATATTTATCGTTGAGCAAAATATTGATGGATCCTTGGTTTGTTCTAATAAACCTTTTAATTTTTTAAAACCATATTGATAAATATGTTGTAAAAGATTTAAATCAAGTGATAAATAATAAAGAGATTCACATATAGCACGAGTTAGTTCAATATTTGTTAAATCAATTAAATTTATTAAAGATATTATTAAATTTGTATCAATCATTTGTAAACGAAATATCGGCTATGAAGAACACAAATTTTGTTTTTTAAATATAAATAAACAGAATATTTCGTAAGGAATGTTTTCGATAGTGAAACTTTATTTTTTCTTCAAAAACACTGATTCTTCAAACGCAGATGAACCGACATACAATACTAGAAATACTTTTACAAAAATTTCTATAATCCGTAGAAATCCATTCTTTATGATTAAAAAAAGATACGTATGTCAATTTAATTGAAATGATGGAATTGTAAAACAGTTCTTATTTTCATTTTTGAATAGCAGAAAACTTCTGTAGAATGCTTATTGTTCTTTAAATGTGCTTAAAATCTGAATCTTGATTTTGATTCAAAATTAAGAGTAAACAGTTCTTTATTTATTTTGTACCAAAATAAAAGTATAGTTCCTATTGTAATATCAGCATACGAAAATATGAATCATCAATTCGCTTCTTATGTAAAAATTGGAGAACTGGTAGACGCACAGTCTAATAGATTTCTAATCTAGATAGTCATCAACAATTATTATAACGAGTAGAGAAATGGTGAGTTTCTTCTATCCTGTTGGGGACAATAATGTTGCTAAAAAAAAAACCGCAAATTATAATGAATTTTTTTGCTAGAAAGTCAAATATTTTATTTTTACTTATCAGAACGTGTTCAATCTCATAAGTATTTTATTACTATAAGTAAATAGCAGTACGTTTAAAACGTCAGTACAATTCTAAAAGGCATTTGTGGGTGTGAATTTTTCTTTACAACACCAAAATATCTCTACCCAAATACTCATAACTATACCGATCCTGCCTATTTTTATATTAATATCACTTTGTTCTTATTAAAAACATGACTTGCTTGTATTCTTTATACAAAATATTTGAATTCCTATTGGTAAAGAGTAGAAAATTCTTGTTTGAAACTATCGTAAAAATATTTTCAAGAAATTCGAAAAAAAAAGAAGAAGAAAAATTTCGTCACGAAATATTCTGTTGATTGACAGAAATATCTTACTATTTGAAGAAGAATTGCAAATAATGAAATAATTGATGTTGATGAATTATTTGAAATATTTAAAATAATTTTAACTATAACTTTTCCAATTCCATATCGAATACAAACATATTTATTTTTTTCTGATTTACATAATAATAAAAATACTTGAAATATATGTGATATTCTTTGATTATTTTCAATTAAATTTTCATTTAATTCATCTAATAAAGTTATCTAAACAAAACGAATAAATTTCTTTTAAATATTTTCCTATGCATATCATTATATACATACTAATTTACTAATTCCACCAAAACGTCGTATAACTCTTCTTGCTCGACGAAATAAAAGAAGTTTAAGTAAAATTGAACAACTTTCTTGTATACCAATATGATCTAAACACATACTATTTATAATTGTTATTATACCACCTAAACGAAATATTTCATAAGTAAATGCAGAATTTTGACATGCATCTTCCAGGACATATAAGGTATTTAACTAGAAAAAAAAATACACACACATACAATTAAATTATAAAATAATTTCTTTACTTTAAGATCTCGATCATACATTTCAATGAAATTAAGTAAAACACTTATTGTTGATGAATCTTTAAATGCTGAAAAAGCACCTCGATCTTGTAAATTATGATCATGTAATAATGCTAATGCTAAAATAGCTGTACATCGACCACCATTCTAGATTAGTATTATTAATAATTATAGAAAAAGAAAAAAAGATTTTTTTTTTTTTGTTAAATAGACTTTAACAAATCGAAGTAATTTTGTTATTTGTTGATATTCAACAAGTTGTTCACGTGTAAATGATATTCGATCATCATCATTAAATAAATGTTCATCATCTTCATTATTAATTATTTGTTCATCATCAGAATTCGATAAAATTTCTTCAATACCATCGTAGAAATATTCTTGTTTATTATTATTTATTTTCAAGGAATTTATTAATTCAAGATATTCATCATTATTTACATTTCTAGTAGATTATTTTAAGAAAAAAAAAATATATAATTAACAATTTCAAATGAATTTTTACCCAGAGAGTTTATCGATTTCTTCAAGTCTTTGTTCATTTGAATGAGGTGAAACATCTATTTTAGTATAAAAATCTTTTTCACTTCACTATCGTATTTCTATTTTAAATTATTAGATTTATATAAAAAAACAAAATATTCTATCTATTTAAAACTTAGTCTATAGAATCTATTTTCTAGATATTGCATTATGAAAAACATAGAGAAGCAATCTTATGAATTGAAATTTAGTTATATCTAACTGAATATAAAGTTGTTTGTAACTAGACAAATTTTATCAGATAAATTTCTTTTGTAAGAGTTTCGATTTTTTTTCTCCATACATACTTATTTTTTAGATTTTTGAATGAAACATTCTTTTAAATAAAGATGAAAGTATCCTTACTTTGAAAAATGAGTCCATCATCATGACTAGATCGACTTATACCTCCATTACTGCTAATACTCCATGTTGCACCTTCATCATTATCATTCTCGTTACGATATCTAGCACTACTCCGTCGTTCAATGTAATGTTTTTCACCATCGATTTGATTGTTCACTATAAAAGTATCGTTGGTTACCTGTTCCATTTCTTTTTGTTTATTTTCATTAAACTCTTTCAGTTATAATATAAGAATAAAAAATACTTTAAAAGCGCCAATTAAATGATATACATATCTTCAACAACAAAAAAAAAGGAATTACTCAATATATAAATGAAATAAACACAGCTTACAAATGCTTGTGGTTTAATTGTTAACGTCTACGTGATGGTTATGATAATGAAGTTCGTTTTAATATTTGTATTTATGCTCTGATGATCCTCGAAAAGACCGAAAATTAAACAAATAAAACTAATCTCATCTAAACTGCATCTATTTCATTTATATATTCTAACAAAAGAAAAGCCTTGTTGATTTATTCATTTAAAATTACAATATTTGTTCATTGTTAACTCGCTGGAAAGTATTCAAAATGGGTGCAAAACTATGTTTTAGAACAAGAATTTTACACTTTTTTCTTAAATGAGCTTAAATATATAATGCCTATTTTTGTTCGAGAGCATTGAAAGAATCTTTCAAAGTTCTGAAAAATTAGTTGGAACAGCAAACAAACGGATTTCTGCTAATTCAATAAATCCTTTTTGTGAACGTGCTAAATACTATTGAACTTGTTCATTTTTGTAGAGCGCACATTTCTGTTCAAAATGTAATAACGACATAAACTGTCGCTTTTACGTATGTCAGACTACAGACATTTTCTTAGTAGCTATTTTCTATGTAAAACGTTCTTTCATCAAAAAGAAATCTATTTTTTCAAAAATTAGAATAATAAAAAAGCAACAACTTAGGTGTTTTATCATTAGATGAAAAACTACTAAAATAGTACAATCTGTAGATCAGAGTTTGTTCTATAAGTTGATATATGAACCAAAGTTTCAACATCTAGTTTCCAATCTCGAGAGCAAAATTTGCGAAAAAATCGCACGTTCAAACTAATTTCCTAGACTTTTCAAAGATCTTCTCTCTACTTTCGTGCGACGAAAAGACAGCAAACTTCTGAATCCATCTTCGAACAAAACACAAAGTTCGGATCCTAACCCATTGTGGCTCACCCGTCTAGAATACTATTAAGTGAGTCAAAAAATGAACAAACATTTAGTCTAGAAATTTTTGCATCATCCATTAAAATCACTTATTCTTGAAAATATTGACTGTAAATATCATTTGATTTCGATTTTATCGATTGAAAATCGATGATTTTTCGACTACAAAAAAAAAATAACTGTGCTCGCTACTAGAATAATTAACGCGTTCATACTAAGGATGATTGTCTCTGGATCCTTATGTTCGAATTACGACTGAATATGACGTTTTCAGTTCATTATAAATCTTTTACTAAAATTTTTTAGAGACGATTAATAACTAATAGTTCAAGTGATATAAAATTCATAACTCCATTTTTACTATCAATAATACAGTTATCTACTCTGTGTATATTCTTTCAACCAATATCGCACTAATAAACAAATCATGAGTAGGTACGTTAAAAAAATAAGATTTTAAATTTCTTGACATCTTACACGACTTTCAACACTTAGTCATCAGTCACTAAACATTATAAAAACAAAGAAAAAATGAATTTATGTCTTCGAAATGAGTATTTATTTTTTTTTGTTGAACAATTTGCGACCTTATTATTACAAATTCATATTATGTGCCACGTACACAATAAATAATCATACATATTTTATGTCTTTACAAGAAACTTAATGTCACCTCAGTAATCTTTTTTCTATTATCTTTTATTATTCGCACTAGAAAAATTCCAGTACATTGAAGCAATGTCAGTATGAAAGGTGATAATATATCTTTCTCTTGCGTTCTTCTTTGAGCGCACCTACATATATAATCTTATTCATTGATTATTCGTCAGCTATTTCAGACCTAAAGTTTGCTTTTTCTTCTGTTTATGTTGTTTCTTTTTCATAAGAATATAAAAAAATATGTTTCAAAAGCTTAAATCGAGCATAAGATTTAATCAGCGACTAGTAAGTTTTGCTTTTTCTTGTAGATTTTACTCAATATTTTTTTCAGTGTTTTGTTCCTCAATAAAGAGTCTAGTTGAATGATAAAATGGAATATATTCCTGCATCAGTAGATATATATTCAATTACTTTTGCACGAAATATCCAATCTAATTATTAGTAATAATTAGATTGGATAATCAAGGTATTGAAAGTGTAGTTTTTAGAACTGGTCGGAAAACTAGTATGACATTTTCTGACAGATGAATCATTTGAATTTCATTCACTAAATTAGCATGAAAATGTAATACTCATGGTACATTTTCAGGTGAGATTATATTAAAAAAATTTGTTAGATGAAATACTAGGATTTTAAAATTTCTGAGAATATTCTTTTAAAATACAGAAAAATTCAGTTTTCGAAAAAATTTTATTTGAAGAATTTCATTTTTTTTTTTTTTGTAAAAAAAATTTCATCTAAAATTAAGTTTTCGATAGATAGTTTCGATAGATAATCTGCATTCGACTAATTTATTATCCAACAATTGAAATTGACATGAACTTATCTATACTTCATAAACATTCGTTATAATTCATATTTACAATTGATGTGAGTAAATAGATGTCGTCAGTTGAATAAAAAACAAACGCAAATTCAGTGGAAGTCAGTCGATCATATAAAACCAAGATGGTGACGTAGCATTATAGCAGCTGATGTCATTTATTTGATATTCTATCATGAATCATCATGCTCTATATCAAATACAATCTTTATTTTTCATTGATTCTAGATTATCCAAACATAGAAAATATTGTCACTATTTGATTCGAAATAATGGCTTATGCATATCTTTTTAAATATATTATTATTGGAGACACTGGTTAGTTGTCCTTTTTGTTTCTAATAAATTATGTTTCTACGTAAATGAATATTTGTTTCTGTTTCAGGTGTCGGAAAATCTTGTTTATTACTTCAATTTACTGATAAACGATTTCAACCTGTACATGATCTAACGATAGGTAAAATTCAAAATAAAAAAAAAACTAAATAGAATAAATTTAATTAAAAAAACAAAGGTGTTGAATTCGGTGCACGAATGATCACAATTGATGGCAAACAAATAAAATTACAAATATGGGATACGGTTTGTTCTGCGTTTTTTTTTCTCAAACACATTTTTTTTTAATTAAAATAATAAAATTAGGCTGGACAAGAAAGTTTTCGTTCAATAACTCGTTCTTATTATCGTGGTGCAGCTGGCGCTCTGCTCGTTTATGATATAACTCAGTAAGATAAATAAAATATTTGATTTGAATAATTCTTTTTTTTTTTTTTAATCTTAAATCAAATAGACGACATACATTTAATCATTTAACCAGTTGGCTTGAAGATGCAAGACAACATTCAACCTCTAATATGGTTATTATGCTTATTGGAAATAAATGGTGAAACTAATTTTTTTATTTTCTCAAATGATTAATATATTTTTGTTTTTAGTGATTTATCTGCACGACGTGAAGTACAAAAAGAAGAAGGTGAAGCATTTGCACGTGAACATGGTTTGATTTTTATGGAAACATCAGCTAAAACAGCAGCGAATGTTGAAGAGGTTAAAGAAAATTATATAAGAAAAAATTTATAAATGAATTTTATGTTGTAGGCATTTATTAATACTGCTCGTGAGATTTATACAAAAATTCAAGAAGGTGTTTTTGATCCAACAAATGAAGTAATTTCTTTTTTTTTTGCTAAAATCTTTTAATGGTTGTGGTTTTTTTTTAGGTCACCGGTATTAAAATTGGCCCACAAGGCAGTAATTCAAGTGGACCTTCTACTCGTCCGAATCCAAGTGCAAATACCAGCAGTGGATGTTGTTAGAAAAAAAATAACTTTTATCAGATCATAGCAACAGCATTCATCTTTTTTTTCTGCACATCTCTTTATATATGTGTTGCGTGAATTTATGCTTTGATGTTGTATTTTTTTTCGTTGTTCTTTGTGTCTTTTTTTTGCAGAAAAAAATATATCGTATCTATATATGATTCTTTCTTTTGCTTAAATCGATTGAAGAATGTCGTTCTTTTTGCTGAAGAGAATTCCGCGAACAAGGGTTTTAATGGATTTTATTTGTAATATAATTCTACGTTTCATTTCCTCAAACAGAAAGGATAGGTTTATATATACATACATATTTATTCGTTATTTAAACGTGCAAATCATTTTTCAGTGAACACTATGACATTTTCATTTGTTTCTCTTTGAATTGACACATTCATATCAATGGATACTCTATCTTTTTTTTTCTTTTCTTTCTATTCTTTGTTGTCGAAACCTTTTCTTTTTTTGTATGTGTGTGTGTGTGTGTGCGTACTTATGTAAAACAGAAATACAAAAAGAAACAAATAAAAGCAAAAGCATAAGTCATTGGGCTTTGAATACAAACAGAATAATATTTATGAAAAAAACTGGTTTTTCTTTTAGAAGTATCTATAATGACTGATTTAGTTGATGAAGTACAATTAAGAACGGTAAAAATTTATTTAGAATATATTAATTTAGATAATTATTGTATATCTATTTCTAGGCAGAAGAAGCAAAAACAGTTTCTGCTTTTAAGGTAAGAAAATGTTTCGCATGACATTTTATTGAAAGATAAAATGAATCAATAGAATAGCGTTACATGTAGGTTACAGGCGATTTATTTTATTTGATAGTCATTTGGTAACCATAGTGAACTCTTCTTTATATTTCATGTATGAGTCATCCGTTTTATTTTAATCTTATCGGTTCTATTCTGTATATGTATATAAATATATATGTTTCATAGCAACAAATATTATATTTTCAACTTTTCTTTTTGTGTTATTTTTACTAAAAACGAGAAAAGTGTAATCACTAACAGCTAAATTATTTTGAAAGTGTTTGTTTCATAGTATTGCATTCATGATAACTAGAGATGTAATATGCTAATTAAAAATCATGATGACAAGAATTTTAAATAAAAGAATAAAAAATTTGAAAGCAATTAGAAAAGAGTATGTTGCTTGCTTTTTTCATTTCTTAGATTAAATTTTTCTTTTTCTCTTACGACAAATTTAAAAACACTTCACAAGACAATAAAAGTAATTCTTTTCAATGACACATTGAGAACTAATACTCTCGCCTAATGTGCAAAAATAATACCATATTAATTTTTCATCTTTATTCATAGCACACCTGCTTCCAGTAATATTGAATAGAATATAAAAGTAAAATTAAAAAACAGCATTGCTTTTCAGGTAACTTTTACGATAATAATTATTTGAATACTGATACGATTTCTATACAACATCAACTCATTTGTTGTTTAAGATTATCTCGTCTCATTGATTCCGATAACCTTCTATTACTATTTTTTTTTTGATGTTATTCGTCTAGAAGATAATTGAATACATAGAATATCTGTTGAGAATAGTTGCTCTAGCAGAAAACATAGCGTTATGATTCATATGATTAATACAAAATTCCATTCTCCTACTGTTAAATAAGAGTTTAGTGGAGAAAAATGCATTATAATCAAAACATTAAATCTATTCATTAAAATTAATCATGGATGTAAACTTCAAACGGTTAGTAATCTTTAATGAGTGACATGATAGTATATTTACATATGCACAACAATTTATAATCTTCTCTCTGTAAGATAATCTCTTATTCTAAGTATCTATTTAAAACAAAGATCAGATTGAAATTTCAACAATCATTTATATTGAGTTAATCTTCTCAAACACTGATATAGATAAATAAGTTAAGCAAACTTGATCCATCATCCAGATTAATCATTGAGATAGTTCAACATTTTATGTACTCTTATTAATGTTTGACGCGACGAGCTTTTTGTGTTTTTCTATTGATTTAGCAATAAAATTGATCGTTAGTTGTATTCTGTACTTGCTAACACAAATAACATTCAACTGTGCATTTTATACAAAAAATATTTCACAAATCACTAAAATTTTCTATTCGAAAGTATTCTAATTAATTCAGATTTGAATTGAAGTTAAATTGATCACACACACAATGAGAAATATTCTGAATAATTCTATGTTCAATAAAAAAATCACAATTAATTATATCGAATCGTATTGGTTTTATATAAATAGCTCTATAGTTTTTTGTTTTTCGAACTTTTGACTCACGTAATTAATAATATATAATCATTTTTTTTTTCTTTTCCATCAT